CCCAAGGGCAGGACCCAGCACTTAGTCTTGTTGAATGTCATATAATTTGCCTTGACCCATTGATCCAGCCTGTCCAGGTCCCTCAGCGCTTTCATACCCTCAGGCAGACCAACACTCCCACCCAATTTGGTGTCATCTTCAGAATTCCGCAGGATGCACTCAGTCCCCTTCCTAGATTTGCTTATCCTAGCAGTAGTCATTCTTTATTCTAGTATATTTTGAAACATTTGCAGTAAGTCTAAAAATGCCCGTGGAACATAGGTGTTTCACAGAGCTCATTAGCTTAGTCTTTACCAAGTCTTTCACAGCACCTTCCAGCTCTTCCATTTTGCATTTTTACCTGTTGTCCACATTCTTGTTTTTCATAAGATGCTGTTTCATCTCTTGGATGTTTCAGCAGGGTTTTCCAAATATACTGCAGAGACTATGAGTAGAGTCACTGTATCCTAACGTCTGTTTCAGTGTTTCGTCACCTCCTAGGGGGAGTGGTGTGCAGCTGCCTGCTGCCTGTGTTATGTAAAATAATAAATAATTTATAATGCTAACTGAAAATGTTGGCTGGACAAATATAGATTCAAGTGTTTGACAGACATTGAGACATAATAAAAATATTTCTTTGAAGACATGAAAGAATATTTTGGGGGGATTTTGCCTTTTTTTTTTTTTTTTTTTTTCTATAAGGGCAGGAGCTTTTCTGTGAGTCTGTGCTTTACTCGAGAGTATTCTTGACCCACTTTAGGAAATCCTTAACTGGCAGATCAGTGTGAGCCATAATGGAGGTCTGCAACATGATTCTGTGAATACTTAGCTATTTTACTGAAAGCAGCTTTTCTGACGTGCTGCCTGGTTGCTGATACCAGCACCTGCTCCAATAACAGAATCTCATGATTCTTGGATCATGTGGCTCCTTTCTGTCATCTGTCAGAACGGAAAAGCATTTTGAAAGGATTAATTGATTTTATGTACCACCTTAGATATCTGAAGGTGTTGCAGTGTACTAACAAATGCTAGTTCTGGTGTAGCTTTGAAGCTATGATGTACGCATGGGATTTCAACTTTATCTGTATCCTGAGCATGGTAATTTAGTATTAATGATTGGTATTAACTGATACAACTTCTGCAAATTATTTTGTTTTCAAGCAAAGACTATTGGCTTCTATCATATGGACTGCACCTGCTGTTCCATTTTTTATCTTGGGAGATTAGAAAATGTGTAAACAGAAGAAGCTTCTGTCATCATTCCTCTTCTCAATGTAATCGAGTAGTTCTTCAGTGAATAGTTAACGATGATCTGCTTTGCAAGACATAAATGCATCAGTGACCGGCTCTCGCTTAGATGTTGCGGTAGTAGAATGGTGGGGCTTTGCATGATGCATGCTTTCATTGTTTGTGTTAGACTGCTTGCATGTGTCTGCTATGAGCTGCATGGCTTGTCTCGGCATCAGTTGTACAGGAATACTCTGTTTCTTCTGACAGATAAGTATTCTTTATATAATTTTCATCTTTTTTTCCTTGGCTTTTTAAACACAATTGTCTGAGACAGTTTTGTGAATGTAATTGTTCATGCTTTGGATTCATGTTGTGTGCTGTCTGGTCTGCTGCTCATCTGAATTTGCTCCTTGGTTGCAAATAGCTAAAACTTCCTAAATGCTTTTTATGTAGCTCCTTTTTATTGATAGGGTTTGCAGGCCAATACTTGCATACACCTGGTAGGTGAATATGTGGTCTTGTATACGATACTGAAGTATGGATAAACTGTTTAGTGGAATTATTAATCACAAACATAAATGGCAGTCAAATATACTGCTGAAAAGACTTTTTTAAAAAAGTGTTGATATGGAAAGAAGTTATCTTTCCTCAGCTTTTCTTTTGTCAACTAAATTAATAGAGTAGTGACTGTATGCGTAATACTGGAAGAAAATGAATTTAATTGCATTTAATTCAAGTGTAGAATATAAGTCACTGGATTTTCTAAGATTACATCTGTTCTTGTGCATTCTAGGTTACTATTAGTAAGTTATGACTGATTATATCTTCAAATACAGAAATTCAGAAATGTCACTTATCAAGCTTAAATGCAGGTTTTGCCTAGGTGTCTTTCTTACTTAAGGGGGAAAGCGATCAGAAGACATTTGCTGACCTTAGTTAAAATGCAATGGATATTTTGACTATTTTTAAAAGTTGATCTGTTCATTTCACCGTATCCTATTGAAATGAAATTTTACCTTTCTAATATGTACAACTCAGAGAAAAAATAAAATTAGTTCCCACTGTCAAAATGACTGTAATAAAACCACATTCAGAGTCATCTTAATGTATGTGCCATATCATTAAGAAAACACTGAAGTTACCAGTAAAACCATGAGGCTGTTCTAGATTTGCATTTAGAGGAAATCTAAAACCATGAGGCTATTCTAGATTTGCATTTAGAGGTAATCTTAAAAGAAATGTTTCATACTTCACATTGTTGTGTGACTCCTGTGAAATGCTCTTTTGAGGTTTATGCTTATTAAACACCTCTGAAACAAAGTAAGTGTATGCCCAAAACTCTTAATTGTCCTTTCAAAAGTCCTTTTATTCAGTTACCTACTTTAGTTTTACTTGCCAAGACTTTGGAAGGCTTGAAATCAATAAAAAGATCCAAAGGTCTTTACTTGAGTATTTGCAAAAAAACCTCACAGCTTCATTATTTTATTCCTGTTATACTGTTATAAAATTACAGTGAATCTTTGCACTGAATTGCATTACAGTTCAAAATGTGGTCCAATATCCTATATACACTACTAAATGTAACTATTTTTCTAGAACTCTTTTTCTAGAATTTAGGAGAATTTAAATGCATTACTTCAGTGGAAATTATCAAATTATTAATACATCCTTATAGGGTGTGTTAATAAGGTAAACCATGTCTTGTGTTATATCATTTCAGTCTAAGCTGTAATTAAATGTATACTTCTCTTTCTGCTAGTTTAGATAAGTTGCAGTTTTTCTAATTTTTTGCTAAAATAAACAATGAACTTAAGCTATGCATTATTTATTCTTTTGAATTTACAAGTGCCTTTTTGTTAATTTAAAGTTAATTATCACTTAATCTTTCACCAAGATGTTTGAAGTACCTTTTTCTAACTACACTTCTATTTCTTGGCCATATCGAAAGTAGATGCAGAGTTGAAAAACTAATACTCATCCTGTTTATCTTCTGCATCTTCAGAGCTTTCTTGTCTTCCATCTCATTAGTAGGCCAAATAGAAATTGACTCTTGGCTTGATCTTTGCTTGGTTTTGCTGGATAATCTCATTCAGTCATGTTCATCCAGGAATCATGTTGACAGCTCTGGAACTCACATGTTTCTTTTCAGTCATACCTTTATTTCTCTAAAACTAGGTTTCTCTACCAGTGCTCTTTTGTAATCCAAACATTACACACATTGCAGTATTGTACAAATCCACGTGTTCTACCAGTACTTAAACCAACTTTTTATCCTTTTATCCTTGCTTTTATTTCTCTTTATTTGCATCTTAATTAATCAGTAATCTGCCTCTCCAAAGCTCATGCAGTTTCCAATTTTTCCCTA